GTGTTGTATGTCGGTGAGCCGTTCAGGTGCCTGAACTTTGCTCATGGGAAAATGGACACGCATGCATGCACGCGCGGACACAGGCACACACTCAGACAGACGGACGGACGGACAGACACACACACGCAGACACACGTACACACACATTCACTCATTCGCTCTCACCGGCCCACAAACGCACGCAACCGACCGAGTGACTTCAGCGACACATTGGTACAGGACACCAGACATGCAGACGATGCCAACAGTGCCACTCTCACGACTGCTCTGGCATGTTCGGCCACCTTGTCATTGGATCCGTTGCAACCGGTCCGTGGTCACGTCATGTCACGTCTTACATCGGGGGGTGTGCCTTAAGCCGATGTGCTACGGGACAAAACTCGTTGCATGGGCTGATCAGCCCTGGCATCGCCGAATTGCCGCAGCATCCAACAATATCCTCCTCACCCCACCTCCCCCCCCGTGGAACCCCTACCCTTCAAGGTGGAACGGTTTGGGGCGAAGGTCCAAGTTTATGCTTCGTGTGAACGGTTGCAGGACTTAGGCCTGGCGTTTTATGCTTCAGTGCTTCAAGTTTGGGCTTGTGCGGTGGATGCCAGGCACACGCGCACAAATGCGCATGGACAAAAACAACACGAGCACACGCGCACACACACACACAAACCTACCTACACACACACACACACAGGAATCCGGCTGCCGAGAAATGTGTAAAAGGCTTTAGGTCAGTTCACATGACTTTCGAGGATCATCCTGTTGTGGAGCGCCTCGGCGCCTCAGATCTCATTGCTGCGCAAGGCACTGGCGGCGCACCCAAGATGGCTCCATCTGAGTCATTTTGATGAGGTTACCTTGCAGCCCATACTTAGGAGACGATCCAGCAGATGATAGCCGAGGCCGCGCATGATGCAAGACCCGTTCGACGAGCGGACTGCGAATTGCTTGCTGATGCTTCATCTCGAATCGCTGAATCAATCGCCCGAGCTATGGGGTGGAGGTGCACAACCTCCGCAGTTCTCGGCACGCTTCTGCCTGCCCACAACTTGGAGCTGTCGTTGCCATGTTACCCTGAATAGGGGGCACGAAGCTAAAGCCTGCAGGTGCTCCAGAGAGGAGCCCGGTAAGGATTCCACCAATGTCGTCGAATCGGCGACCAGGGCCGGTGCCCTAAGCTTTAAGTAGTGGCTTGCATGTTCACACAGTTGCCGTGGTGTCAGCTGCGGCCATACTGGGCCTTGAAGTCTTCTTACGTGGAGCCGTGCCGTCGACGCAAATTTTCTCGCGGGACCACGAGTCGGATTTCTCAAGCACCTCGATTTGTGGGAGAGCTGATAGTTTGCAAGTTTCCCTTACGCTCGGTTCCTGTACAGGGTTCGATCCCATCCGACGCATTGTGGTGAACATTGATGCGCCAGAGTATATGCTATACAGCTTGATTTTTGGCGAAGAGGGCGAGCTTGGCGAAGCTTGCAGGCTCTACAATCTTTCCCGCTGCCGCGGCCCAACTCTCAGAAGTTCGTTCAGTATGTTCAGTTCCACGCTGCCCAGAGACTGCCTGTATTGACTGCAGCCCGTGGGTAGAAGAAGACGGACCCAATAGGCCACGTTTCATACCGCCTCGGACAGGTCGTGGAATCTGCTGAAAGCGATGCAGTTTCTGCAAGATCGGCAAGTCTTGCACAGCCGTCAAGGCCATGCGACAGGTGGCATAGTGACAGAGGGCCACGAAGCCGTCTGAGATTCACGACTTGCGTTCCTGCTCCATGCCAGGGGTGGACAATACGCGGGCGATTGCTCAGCCCCAAGTTTTAACGTTGCGCAGCGTAGCCGCTAGCACCAGGTCAATGCCAAGCATCGGAGTGCGGGTTGCTTTCTCGATTCTGTGGCGAAGTATGATCCGGAACTTCCTAGGACCACCAAGCCCTCGTTGTGGAACCGCTGCAGAAGGCAAAGTGCTTGCCGCATCATTCTGCAGACTCTTCCCCATCTCAGACATGCGAACAAGCAAGCACACAGGCCACACCTAAGATCAAATTAAATTTGTCATAAACCGTCACCATATATGCATACATTTCAGTGGGCTTGCACATGCTGTCGTCCGTTACACATGGGTAGGCTGAGGGTAGGTGATTATACTTGTAACACAGTGAGCTCGGCATGACCGTACGTAGCATTGCCTGTGGCAGCGTAAACACCTGGCCGAAGGTTCACATGGAGAACAGCAATACTTCAAGAAGTTTGCGGGGATTGAGTCTTAGATCTTAGAGCATTCCTGGCATTCCCACATGGACGCTGAAAAGGGTGTGGATGAGCCTCCGTCGAGACATGTTTGATTCATTGATTATGCGAGACCTAGCAGAGCATCCTAGCCTTGTGATCGGGCAACATCTTCTTGTCACATGGCGATGGCATGCTTGGCGCACAGGTTCCGTTGGACAACTGGTTCTTGGGATATGAGCCGGGGCCTTCGTTGAACTCGTGTGGGAGAAAAGCACAAGCGCCTTCTACCTGCGAAGCGCGCCTCATGACCGAGGCTTGTGCTCGACAGCCAAGGCCAAGGCAAGCTGAGGAACAGTCCAAGCTCCGCTCTTGTGCATCTTCAGTCCCACGCCAAGTGCGATAATGATAACAGCAACGCACAATGCTTTTATGGGCACTGCCTGTACAAATGCTCTCGGCTGCCTGCATGTGGCAGTGATGTCACCTGCTGCATGGAGGCGCATCCTCTGCATCAGTGGACAACGTTACAGAGGCACATTGGATTGTTGGGTCATCCTGCAGTTCGTTCAGGACTTCCGGATCCGGAAGCATAGCCGATTTCAAACAAGCAGGTATCTTCGGACAGGTAAGATCTCGTGCCAGGCGGTTTTCCATTATTTTAAACATATGCAAGGCATGGCTTTGTACATCAGTGCCGATCCCGGGGGGAACCCCGCGGGAACAGCCAAGACTAGGTTCTCGTTCATGCCGTGAGCCTTTGACCATCTCGCATATTCGCAGAAGCATATCTAGGCAGTTGACGCAAACCTGCCAGGTGGGTGGTACCATGAGCCCAACAGCCAGGCATCTTTGAGTGACAGCTACACGGGCTTTGCGTTACCAAAGCCGGCTCCAGCAGCCTTTGCTGCAGCTAGGCTTGTTTTACTGGCAGATCAGGCGTACCCCCAGCGGTGAAGACGTTGTCGGGACCTCACCGAACAGCTTTCGCATGCACTTTGACAGTCATCTTTAAAGCGCTTCATTCCATGCGCAGCCACGCCAGTCCAATGAACAAAGCCCGGTTCAGTGGCAGACGAGCTTCAGGGTTGAACGGACTGTGGTGGCCGCCAACTACTCCCTTACTCGGACGCCAAGTGGAGCCATTATAGTGGAGAGACGTTTCGACAGGCTCGGTAGTCTGGCCCAACTGGACTCGCGAGGCCTTGGGCAATGGCAAGAGAAGACGAAGGACTTTACCCGTTGGTGAGCTGCCCCGCACTCAACCTGTCCGCTAAGACTCCTGCACGCATCGATGTAGCCGCAGATATATCCGTGCGATAGTTTGCCAACGTATGCGAGCAGTCGTGTGTGCAGCCTCCCTTCAAAGACACAATAATCAAGGACGGATGCCGTTGCCAGGGAGATGCGCCCCGTCTGTTTGCACTCAGTGCGTGCAGTGGACTTGCTGCGTCAGTTCGCTTTGCAGGCGTTTCCTGCATGATTGATACTGTACATCATGGCGTCTCCTTGCAATGTCGCTTGTTCTGTACAGAGTTCCGGGTCAGCCTCTGAGTCACTGTCTCCAGGATCGTGACTGTCGTTGTTTGTCGAATCAATGGAAGAGTAGTGCTGTGTGGTTCACAAACAGGCTGTAGCGATTGCTTTGTGCTGTCGGAAAGCATACTGCTTGACGCATATTTTTCTTCCGCAGCAGAGCGGGGAATGGTCCAAAATTATGTTACAAGATGGTTGGCCAATGTCGGTGATCGTCAACATTAGAAAGAGTACTTGAGGAAAATGTCGCTTGCACGTTTTCAAGAGAGGTACTCGGACATGAGTCGGAGACGTTCTGATGGTCCGGCAACCTGGTTCGACATGCTCTAGGAAGGAGTGCTTTAATTGGCTCGCCTGAGCGGTGGATGAATTTCATACTTCTCTCGCAACGAGTAAGCATGTAACCAGCATCCGCGAGAGTTGTGATGTGACAGACTCTGAAGGCGAAGTGCCTAGCGTCGAAAAGATGATAGACCAGTGTGGCCGCAGTCTTGGAAGTCACGGAGGGAAAGATCACTAACGTTAAGTAACGACCGTCGGTGGAGTCACGCGAAGATAGGTTGGTGGACCAAAGAAGATCATCTCACCACCTTTGCTAAGGTGGCAGCACCACGGTTAGCAACGCCATTGAACTGTACGGTCCTTGGTCCCGAGGGCGGAATGCACAGAGGCCAGGAAGGCACCCAAAGATTTTCTCTGCATTCAAGACTTCAAGCAGAAGCTGGAAAGTCCGTCCCCCACGGGTTCAGGACTTGCGGTCAGCTGAGGCTCCGATTGATCCATAGAAATGCGCAAAGTCTGTGCCTCAACACTTGTGTTTCGACTGCAGGGGGACAAGCTGATGTCATCTTCTGTGCTGAATCTTGCCGGCTCCATGTTGAGCCTTCTGCATTCAATGAGAACCAGCAAGACCACCATTGCCTGGCAGTGCCTGAGGCCTTAGCCCAGAGATGGGAAGTTGGGTTTCGTCCAAGCTGGACAGGAAACTAAGGCTGGTTGCACGTGAGCAACACCAGCACATGTGCAGCGTTCAGTAAATGGTGCGCAGGTATCAGCTAGAAGACCCGTCATGGACTGAGAGATTCCGGGACACGGCAATCTGCTGTTAGAGCAGCTGCCAGGGAGTCCTGCCCTACATGGCACTCCAAGAAAAGCGGCAAATCCCCAAATATGCTACGAAACGACCATGCGCGAGGCTGAGCGTCATCAGTGGTACGTTGCCGGTGTGGGCGGTGACACTGCCACGTATGTGCCCGTTCCTCTTCAGCAGAGCACCCAGTTTCGATCAAACTCAGAAAGCCGTGGAGCACCCAAGCATGGCCAAGCCGAGGCCTGAAGACTCGAAAGATGCTCCTGAAGTACACTGCATTTGGACCATCCTTTGCTGTGCATTGGACGCAGGAGTCGGAGTGTTGCGCGGCCTTCGGATAGTTTTGCCTTTCGAACGCAATGTGGCAGGAGAGCAAAGTCGGATCTTTTTTGAAGCGGCGCGCAACGGTGCAGACAGAGCTGAATGCCGGGATCCCTTTGATACAGAGTCCATGTGGCAGAACCATTGGACCATGGTCGAGTTGATGTTGCCGAGGCACAGACCGATCCAAGAAAGATGCAGGAGCTGTCGCAGGAGCTGCCGCTCGGCGTCAGATCGTCATGCCTGAAGCACAAGTCCTCGCAGCATGTCAATCATGTACAGCTCATGCGTTGTCGAGTACCTGCAGCTAATAACAACATCACCATGAAGCACCTTGCATGCCACCGCGCCTGTTCATGAATCGTGCCGAACAGCCGGCCAGGTCCAACATCGAGGAGCATGTCGTGAGGTGTGTCCTGCCATTCCGAAGCTTCGAAGGGACAAGCATCTTTGAACAGGTCGAACTTCTGGCTCGGAACTTTGCAGAGCACGCTGGCGAGCGCCCTACATTCCTGCGCAACGGCATTCGTCATAAAAATGCAGCCACTGCTCAGGTCCGTCTGCAGAAGGGTGAAGAATTCCTACGCCAATCCGATGTTGCAATGGGCTTCCTTGCAAATGTTCCCCGACTGGTATTTGGAGTGGAGACACCGGAAACGCATAAGCTCAGCCGTGCCTTGACACTGCCGGACAGGCCAGCAAGCTGTTGGAGGTGCAGTTCGAAGGTGAGACAGGCTTCGGAGTGGCCGTGACGCAGTCATTCTACGCGGCATGGCCGCAAGCAGCAAATTCATATCCGCGGCAGCTTGCACTGAGTCCGGCAAACTCCTTTTTGTCCAGTGAATCGCGTACGTGCCATGTGTTTGCTTTGTTTTTTCATTGTGTTCGTGTTATGTTGAGTTCCTATAGTGAATAAGTGCAGCCTGCCCTAATCTGAGGGCATGACACTGACAGGTGGAGGTCGCGCAGGCTCTACAAGAGCGCGCCATGAATGCCTCTGTTCCCTTGTGGGATCGGCGCTCGGCAGTACTCTCTGTTCAAGCGTGGGCTTCCTTCCGAACGCAAGATGGATGTCACATGTCCACTGGTGTACGACATGCAAGGTTGAAGACGATGACTCAAGCGGGAGCCAGCAGCACTTGCCACCTGCCGAAACCCGTTTCTCTCTAGGTATCAATGCCAGCTTTCTCGGCAGTTGCGCTCATTATGAGCTTGCCGAGGTTGTGCCGCAAAGGCTTGCTGCTGAAGCCTCTCACCTCAGGGCCAGTCGCCGAGAAATGCACCATGTAGGCAAACATTAGTCGTCAAGCAGTCAGAACGGCTTGAACTTCACCTTGCAGCTTTCCGGCGATTTCCGAGGCCTCAAAGGGATGCGGCAGTTGAGCGCTTCCGATTCTTAGGCCGACTGCTTCGACCTGAGAAGTTTGTGTCGTGTCGCCGCCTTTGGATGCTCTGATAACCGTTGCTGCACAGCTTCGCTTCTCAACCAAACGCAGAAACTAGACTACGAGTTTTGTGATTGCTGCTTGCGCTAAAAAGCAGAGAAGGCACGAAGGAAAGTCTTCCAGGTGAAAGGCATGCATAGTCTTTCGGTCCAGTAGCGAGGCGGACAAAGTTGCAGATCGAAATGAAGCGGTGTCTGTGCATGCTATGCGCATGCGTATGAGATGCATGCGACGAGCACAGAGAATCCAATCGAAATCTTAAACCTCTACAAAAGCACTTCAATGTGTGTGTGTTTGTCTCATTCCTGAGTGGTAGGAACAGCAGTTGCACACTTGAGAGCTAGATGCCGTGTGCGAAGACGGATATCAAACCATGTTGGGCAACGCGGGTCGAGCCTGGTCCTTCTGAGTCTTGCTGCACATCAAAACATTCATGCTACGGACGGCTGTCGAGCCGTCAGTCAAGGCATGGGGCGTGCCCATGACACGAGCCGATTCAAACCGCATTGTCTGCAGATTTGCGATCCCGTGGATTAGGGCCAACCAGTCTACAGTGATGGTGCAGCAGGCATCAGGCTGCCATTTCCACAGCTTTTGCCCTTGCTGCACAGGGACCGCACTACTCGTTTCCAGGAAAAGTGAAAGGTAGCAAGAAAAAATTGTCATGCTGGCAGCTTGCAGACAGTCATTGGATGCGGCATGCTTGCTCAGGATGGGACAGGCACTGCCGCAAGCTCAGAAGACAGCACGGATCACCAATCCCAACAGTCCACAACCATTCCGCTCCCCTTAGAGTCTGTGGCCAAATCCGTACGTTGCTTGTACTTGAGGCGTGAGGGCTTCATTGTGCCCCTGCCACTTGCAGACGAGTTTTTCGCATTGGTCCTTGGAGAGAAGTCCGCCACTGAGCCACCAAGAGCAAACTCCGTTCGAGATGTCGCTCCCGTGTAAAAGTTGAGACAGGAAACCCCATGTCGGGAGTTTGACTCTTTTTTTGGCATCGGGCCATCGAAAAAATGAGGGAGAGGAAGGAATCAAAGAGGCAGCAAGGAAGCAAGGCAGGGAGGAGCCCTTTCCGGAATCAGCACGGCAAGCCCTACCTAGTTTTGGCTGCTGATTACCCTTGCTTAGTGTGCCACCGGATAACGTAAAGTTTCGTAGTTGTTTCTTATTGAGAACCCCTGTTTGTTCGGGGGCCCAATACGGTGAAGATGTTTCCCTAATTCTTTAGATTCTTTTACGGGGGGACCCACTTAAGAAAAATGCTGTCGGATAATCTCTTGGAAAAGGGTTACAACATCACCGGCACTTTCTTCCAATCCTTAATTGACTATTTAGTTTTGCGGGTTACCCAATAATGCTAAGACTTTCCACAGGCACCTGAGCACTGAGCAGCTTCGGCAGTCAAAACCCCGTGGCCTAAGACAGCCCTCAATGAACTAAGTACAAGTAGCTTTGGGGGTACCCAGTAATGCCATGAACTTTTCCCGAGGCCAAACGCGTTGGTGGTCCCCAATAATAAGTACCAAGCTTTCACGGCCAGGCCCAGCATTCGGAATGTTGCTACAAGTATTGCTATTAGTACTACTATGACTAATACGATCAACTATACAGTTCCAAATACTACAGTATTAACTATACTGTTTCTAATACTGTGACAATACTTCTACTAATACTATTATACTATTGCTACTACTGCTACTATCACTAGTACTTTCTACTATGACGAGCCACGGGTTCTGGACGCTCGAGCTTGCAAAGTCAATGGATCTCTGAGGCAACAAGCAGTGGTAAGACCTTACGAAAGTACTGTAAATACCGAGTAACATGCACGTGCAGCGTGTCGCCACCAGCTTGCAAAGTCGAGAAATGGATTTTAAGACAACAAGAAGTGGTAGATCATTACGAAAGTACCGCAAAAAACTACTAAAATGGATGTGCTCTTAAGATGGTCTGGAGCAAGTGTAGTTAGTAGGGGGTGGGAGGCGTGCCTATGACTAGTACGACTAGCACTGTCACTAATACTACGACTTAACAATTGTTAGTACTATTACTAGCACCAAAGACTACCAAGACCGCGACCCCGAAACAAAACCTTGTTGAGCAACATTGTTGTTGTTGTTGCTGTTTTATTTTGGAGGGTCCCCCGCACATTGCGATAAACGTACATGGCCGGTAGATGACAAGATGCTGGTGTCGTTTGCCAATCATGTACAATGACAGTATGCCAGCTAGTTATTGCCCGCTTGAGCACTGTCACGGAAGTCGAGAAAGACGTGGGCGGCGGGCCGAATAGGTACTGATGGCTACTCAGTGTTCACCCATTTTATCCTTTATCTTGTTACACAGATCCCACTAGCTCGAAACTCTCCATATATATATATATATATATATATATATTTGTATGATGTATGTATGTACGTATGTATGTATGTATGTATGTATTATCTTTCTACTATCTTGTTATATTCCGTTTTAAGATCTCAAACTGTGATAGATGAATTTACTGTACTGCCTGGGTCCCGTTCTTTGGTTGGTTGCCACCCGCATTGGCAATCCGATCGGCTCCGCAGACGTTTACCTGTTCGTGCCACTGCCAAGTGCTTTCTCTTTTCACTTCGTCCTCGGAACTAGCTATTAAAGGCTGCATTTGGGGCGAGACTCTATGATACACTATGTGCATACCCTTGCAGAACCCCCTGTTTGCTGTGTCAACTGTACAATGAAGTAGTGTGACAGCGCCGAAGTACAAAGGGCAGAATACAAAGCCGTCATGCTGACATCCGATGCTGCGCTTGTAGCAGTCGTGAGTTTTGATGGGAAACCAGACGAGGCTCGGGCCAGACAGTCTGCCCAGACCTGGCAACGGTGTAGCTGGTGAGCTGCAGCCTTGGTTCGAGCGACGGCGGAACGCAGACAACGAAGCAAAGCAGAGCTCTTGCAGGCTGCTGGGTGCCCTCGCGGATTTCGCCGAAGACCTGAGGGCTGGAGAGGCCGGGACTCTCAGATCGGATGTGCAGGCTGTGTCCACGCCATGCGTGGACAGGTGCTGGCATCCAAAGATTAAACATCCGACGATGTATGGCAGTTTAGAATCAATGCAGAAGGGGTGAACTTTGCTGAATAAGGTGAGATTGATAAAGCTGTCTGTTCCATTGGGGCAACACTACTACAACGTTGGATTTCTGGTCCGGCTCCTGCATTCCATGTGCTTTGCCGGCGGCGGTTGCAAGGCATCTCAGAAGGAGCGCGGCAGCTCTCCGGAGCAGATCCAGGCATGGAAGAACGCTCAGGCAAGTGTGCGGTTTGCAGTGCAGTCGCCACAGACATCATGCAAACATCAGGTATGTGCGAAGCATGGGGCATGCTTTCCAGTAGACAGGTTAAACTTCAAGCTAGGTTTGTTCGCACATGGTCACATCGTGGCTGAAGATTCCTATGCCATGGCAGCCGTAGCATTTTGATATTGATCGTCGTGGCTGATGTTGTCCCTGCCACATCAAGGCTGATCGCAAAGACTTCGCTGAACGCTTCCTTTCGCCCAGTGATCGACCGGATATGACTCCGACACAAGAGCCTCAGCCTTGCATCAACTCTCAGAGCCCCTGTCGGTTGCCATGCCTGGCTCTTGGCATAGGCCGATGTCTTTCAACGAGTACACGAGCTTGGCTGGAGTTTGTTTCTTGGAAACCGGCCTGAGCGCAGCACCCGGCCTCTGTCACCAGCATGGCATGGGCGAGGCGGCCATGGCTGGAGAAGGGTTTTGCAGTGAGTTCAGAGCTGAGGTGGTGCAGCCCTGTGTCCAGATGGGGATAACATCCTCGTCACAGTGGACAATGTCGAAATCCCGTTATTTGAATCCGGCTCATCTTGCATACGGGCATATATGCGACACGTGTTTTTGCACAAGGTGGCCACCTTCGTCGAACAGGCGCTGATGTGATCTGCTGGGGTGGGCAGCTCGTGAGTTTCCAATCAGTGGTGGCACACGCGACTTGTGACAGGCCACCCACTTTTGGTTTGATGCAGGTGTGAGGGATCAGGCACTGCCAGCTTTTCCTGTTCATTCGCTTGCCGCTCCGCCTGCGCGAGTTGGAAGGTGGACGCCTTCCGTTCCGGTTTGAACGACGTCTTCCCCTTTCCATGCCTGCAGGCACCGGGCTTTGTCAGGGCCGTGTCGGGCAGCCGCCTCTTTCAAGATAGTTCTCCGTAGCCTGCTGCAGCCTCAGGGGGTTGAATACCAACCCCCAGCCTACCAAACTACTATACTACTACTACTACTACTACTACTACTACTACTACTACTACTACTACTACTACTACTACTACTACTACTACTACTACTACTACTACTAGCAGTAGCACTGGCAGTAGTAGTCGTCGTAGTACGTAGTGTACTGGGTAGCAGCAGGCCTGTGTGGTGTGTCAGGGGGGTGGTGGTGGTGTAAGCCTGAATGGTGGGCCCCGCTAGGCTTCATGCTTGCCCACCACCTTAAATTGAGAACTCTCGATTTCTGTCAGGCGTTCGCACGTTCAGAACTTCGAGAGATGTTTTGTCCCGGGCTCATCGCAATAGCCGCTTTGGATTGTAGATCTTGGGGTCACGACCCAAGTCGACCTGCAATTAACGGTTCTTATGCTGATCTTCTTTGGCATGGGCGCCGCTGGAGAGGCGGTGAGGACAGAATTGACTGGGATGAGCAAGCGCTGCCTTGCTGCCCTGCTTAGTTCCAGCGCACTTTCTCGGTGACGCTCGGCTGGGTGGCTCGCCAGGCTCAACCACATCCACCCAACGGGTGGATTGAACGACAAGTCACCAGCTTACAGATTCTTAGTGGCCGTGGACCCAGATGCTCGGATGCTCCCTATCTGCCGGCCCGATCAGGGTCGAATGAACAAAAGGCAAACGAGTTTTCAATGAAAAGTGCAGCCTTCGAGCATTCCCATCCATGTTTAAGAAGATTCATTGGGTGGCCACTCTCCCTCAAGCAGGGCCACATCCGATCCAACAATCCAACTATATTGATGTGTTGAGGCCGTCCTCTTGGAGTTGAACCAGGCAGACAGGCTGGGCCCATTTCGATGACCTCTGAGAGGAGTCTACGTGGAGCTTCCGTGAGAAGCTCCACGACGGTCGGCCAGTGAATTCTAGGAGGTTCTAGGAGTCTTGGTTGACAGCTGCGAGGGAGCATCGCCAAATGGCAGCCAGGGCTAATGCGTAAAGCCAGCACGGCAAGGGCAGTTTGCTTGCAAGGTCCAGATTCTTGGACTTTGTTTCCTCGTGTCCTCGCCTTCCTCCAGGCGCCACAGTGCCGACAGACTGATTCACCACGGGCGTGTTCTTGTTGGTTTGCTCTGCTCTATTCCCAGAGCCGACCACGTTCCGGCAAGCTCGTCCAAGTGTTACATAAGTCTCATTTATCCGAGCTTCGCAGGTGGACAGGCCCCATCGCAAGCCGCGGGAATCGCGAACAGCATAGATGGTAGATGATGGTAGTAGAGAATGTGCGCATATGTGCATCATTGTGCACCTTCTCTTTGGGGTCTTGAAAGTGCCATTTATGTATGCTTTGAAGTGTCTTTGTCTTGCTGCGAACTTTTTTGTTTGTCCGGCGGAGGGAAGGCTTGCTGTTTACAGGTCACTGGAAAGCGCACTCACGAAGCTCTTGTCCGAGCCACGAACCTGTGCAGAGACATGCAAAGACCTCGCGCCGCTGAGCTTGGCCCCTCCCTTCTCGTTTTGCCGTTACCTGAATGTCCTTGTGAAATGCCTTTCCCTGCAGACTGGCGGGAGAAGCACAGTAGGAGGCAGAAGTTTGCGCGGGGTGAAGCGAAGCCTTTGCTTGAGGGATGAGCCAGTGAAATCCTACGAAAGCGCTTCGAGCTCGACTGTAAGCATTTCCCAGCGACATGCCACAACGAGAGCGTGCATTGCGATCTTTCGAGCCAGTCTCGGAACAGCTGCAGAGCAAAGTAAGCATGCGCCGTGTCGTGGGTCCGAGGCGGCATTGCAAAGTTCCACGTGGACGTTTTCCCTGATACAAGCGCCAGAGCCTTTGAAAACATCAGGTTCCGAATCGCACTGCAAAACCCGCTTGTACCTGCTGCCAGACTGGGACACACGTGTATCCGTGTCAGGCCTCACGGCAAGCCTTTCCCCGTTCACGAGCATGTGCCAATCAGCATGGCACCAAGCACCGCGCGAGAAGTTCATATTTGTTCGCTTGCCGGCCGAGACTCTGAGTCTGTGGTAACCGAGGCTGTACCTGCCGCCATACACCTCCAAAGAGGAGCTGCAGGCATGGCCGGACCGAAAGTGGCTCGTTCGTTCACGCTTCATTTGGGGATATTTGTGACATCTCCGTGTCGAAAGGCAAGGCTGCACGAGGCCATGTACTGCTCGGTCCTGTCCTCGGAAATCACCCGACAGTCCCAGAATCCATTCATCGCGGTTCGGATGATGCATGATGATGTGGGTTTGGAACGGCGAAGTTGGGACAGTCAGTTCTGCACGCTAATTCATGGCAGCTAGTGCTTAAAGCCGACGTTTGCTCGGCACGGCCAACGTTAAATCGGTTGGCCTGATGCTCCAATGTTTTCATACAGTTTGCCACAGCGCCTGTACATTTAGTGGATGCCTGCAGCGAGACAGCCCGTGAATGTGTAGATGTGAAGTTGGAGTTCTGTCATCGTTGGCCGTTACTCAAGGCTGGACATCACGAGCAGAAGGTGCGGGATCAGTGAATCGTGAACTCGTGACACTGTGGCTGAGCACAAGGCCAGCCGGAGCGTTTGCGCTTGCAATCAGCAGCTTTCGTTCTGACACAACCAATGGCTTACTAGTCTTAGATGAAGCACCTGGGAAGCGGGAACCACGTAAAGTTTGTCACATCAGCAGCGGCCTTCGGGTTCCACCCTGTTCGGCCGAATGCAACTGGCAGCTTATGGAGGCGGAGGCTTGCTAGTCGGTGTTATCTGTCATGTGGACGGGTGAAGGTAGTTATCTAATGGGACGTCAGTTGGTCAAATCCATTCAAATCCCATTCAATGGCACTCCGGCGGCTGTGTTGCATGATGAGGTCATCAGGAACAGCTGATCCGTTGCCAGCAGTGGCTACGCAGAATTCAATATCTTCGACCCACTGGATGCAGCGAACTAGGGACGTGGCTCCTCAACCAGGGCCTATGCCTCGGGTGGACAGGCTCACACCTCGCGAGAACGATTATCTAGTTGAATCATGTTGAATCTTGTCTGAGAGTCCTGTGTGATCCTTTGTGAAACGATGCTGCACATGTGGGTGGAACGAATTTTCCGGATTCCAGCTTCTAGCTCTTGTGATGGTGCAGCCCTGCTGTCGAAGTCACATGGATAAGTCATGGACACTTCTCGCGCCAGGATCACCCTACATCAAGTAAGCTTACTGCAGCATGGGCGAGGCTGTCGCAAGAAACAACAATTCGGTAGCCTTGTTGTTTGATCTGCGTCACAAGCTGGGAACTGAATCCACAACTCAGCCTCCAAGTCGTTTCTGCACAGGGGGCCATACTTGCAAAATCCTGTGATCCTAGCTGCAGATGTGATGCGGGAGTTGCCACGCTTGGTTTGAAGAGCCAGGTGGCATGGTACAACACTTCTTGAAAATGGAAAGGAGGTGTCATTTAAACAACAGAGACTTGAAGTCAAACTGCATGAACAATTTGGCCAGCGTTGAAAGCGAGGCCTTCTTGCAATGCTTGTTTGCCGTACGAGTTTGTGGATGGCATTCAGTCACATAACCTTACATCATTTACGTTTGTGACAGGGGATTTGTGTACAGCGGGTATTGCGGTAGGGATTCGACCGGACTTATAGTGCGCAGCGTTTCTGGGCATGGCGTGTAGAGAATTTTTGAGCTCACCATGCTCGTGCTAGCACGTGCAGTGGCGAGACCCATCAGGCATAGAATTGGCTGAAACAGGATGGGTTGCTGTCGAGGCAGATGTGCAGATGGAGCCATTTTCGGCGCCGTGGGGCCTTCGGCCTTGAACAGTTTCGGATCGATGACTTCATGTCATGTATTGGCTAATTACATTGAGCAAGCTCTTCGGCCAATTCTTGCCACGTCAGTCCACTGGCAACGAGGACTCGTGCTACTCAGAGAAATGAAGCCTCATGCTTCGGCATACAGCACTTGCCTTCGGTATTTAAGCTGAAGTTTTCGTCGGACGTTTCATGATGATGCTGCACAGAGCTGTGCACGAAAGCAGACTCGAGACTACTAGTACCATGTGGTTTCCGCATCTGCTCATGGATCATTGCTCGGCTCAGGCATGCCCTGCGCAAGGGACCCCGACAGCACCACCATTCTCCAGTCCCCCGTCTTTCGAGATCAACTTCTGATCGGGGCGACGAGAAAACCAAAGCACTTCAAAGCGTTACACGTATCAGTTTACGACAGGACAGATGTTCAACACGACTTGCAACTTCCAGTACCGGTTTCCAGCTTGGTGAAGATCATGGCAGCGATTGTCTCGCCATGGAGCCAGACTGTTTTTCCGTTACAGTTACCCGTTGTCCGGTCTAGGGCGACCGCCTTCGAGATGGAGCGGACGCAGGTGATTAACTCGGTTGAATCCGCATGATTGCAGCTTTCGGAGTGTCTGTAGAAGCAGAGCTTACGTATCTAGTGTTTGCCCAAGCATTCATTGATTTCTGGCATACTTTTTTTGGTTCTACTCTCTACAAGTGCACGGAGCTGGAACTGTGATCCTGAACATTTTAGGTTCTGCTGTTTGGCAGCAAGGACGACTTACACACAAGGAAGTTGTTGGATGTTTTTATTCAGTACTAAGAAAACCTGAAATGAGGGTCAGAAGTTGCAGTACTTGTCTTATCAAAGCATTGAAGTTTACAACGTTTGGGAACTGAAGGCAGCAACGAGACCGAACGGGAACATAGTTGGCTTGAACCGACCCTGCGACTGCGAAGGTGGAGCAACTTGAGGACCAGTTGCGAGCCAAGAATGGCGTTGGAAAGAAGCCTGGGAGTGGTGGAGGACCGATCTCGATTCCATTCATTTGTTCAGTCTTTGTGTTCTCCTGCAGCGAAAGCATCGTCTTCTCGATCTGCAAATGCCGCTTGCAAAGATTTACAGAGGCCCATTTGGTGGCTTGGCTGGTGCAGTTGGGGGGATGCTGTTGGGCAGCAGCGGCAGCGGTTCCAAGCATACTGGCGACGGGCGCGTTGGTGCTGGAGAGAGACCGCATCTTTGGCAGAAGCCTTGGAGTTTGCAGGTTGCATCTGGAATCCGCATGCATGCCACCAAACGACCGTCGGGCTGGCAAGAGCCAAGGAAAGAAGGCATGATGAAAGATGCGCTGGGTTCAATGGGCTCTTCTGGCGCGATGGCCGCTGGTGCATTGAACACTTTCGGAGCCTGGAACCATTAATACAGTTGCTTGACCGGCCGTGTCATGTACCATCATTGCCAGCTGCGGCATTGTTGATCAGAGGGTGGTCATACACGAATCAGGAGCAGGAGAGGGCCAAGAGTGCGAATTCCATCTCAGCCCTGTAGTTGCATCACCTTTCTCCTAGGTTCCTTTGACTCCTTGCCCACGCCAAGGACCTCTAATGCAGTCCAAGTCCGGTCAAAAAGATAAAGGGGCCGAGATCAAAGACGAGCGCACTGACTCGGCTACCGAGAAGGCGGAGGCAGATGCACAGATGACCGGAGAAGGACTGATTACCGGATTTTCAGACTGTTACACGTTGAGGCGGCGGAGAATATCCTGTAGCGTGATGTAGCATTGAGACCCTCAACGTCCACACCTGACCATTAGTACCAGTACCTGCTACCATCATGATTCTACTCCGATCTCTTCCTCCGCCTCCTCCTACTACTGCTCCTGCTCCTGCTCCTGCTGCTGCTACTGCTACTACCACCGCTGCTGATCCTGCTAGGCCACAGCGTTGCTGGCTGTTGTCACAGGACGAAAAGCCGGTGAAGTATGCTACTCGTAAGTTGCTCGTAGTTAGCGAAGTGCAAGCTTCAGCAATATCCTTGGCCACTACCGGCGGAGGCTGGTAACCTTCTTGAGCTTGTCAGCCCACGGTTGCATCTTCGGTTTTACATGTTCTTTTAGTCATGTTTGGATGAGCTCGTCTAGTGCGCGGCACCGTTTAAGATCTCAAGACCTGATCGGCAAACGTCGCCTTCTGACGTTTGCAACGACATCCCAACTGCACGTGGCGACCGGTGAGGCAGAGTCAAACCTTCAATGCTGTTATGATGGTGATGATGATGGGGATCCTCCCTACGATGATGGTGATGATGAACTCGACGATGATGATGCTGACCTGGCGATGATGACGGCGTTCAGCAACCGGTACGTCAGAACGGCCTCAGCTCGCCCAGCTCCCCTGTGGGATTTTGCTTCGAACACGCCACGGAACAGGCACTTCACGATCCCGATACCTCGATGTTCAGGGTATGCAGACTTTCAGACCTCGAAGCCAGCATAATCCTGCTCCGCTGAATGGAGACTTAGCTCCACAATTTCCATGCGATCCGCTCCATACACAAATGAATGCCAAGGGACGCGTCGCTCCTGGAACATTGTGGAGCCTTTAACACCCTCGTATGTGCAAGCCCACCTTTCGAGATCATATGAAGCGAAATCTGCGCCACCTGTTGCGCGCGCCGTCTCGCTCCCTTCTACAATCGTGGAATATCGTGGGTCTATTTGTCTTGCGCGCACTGCCCCGCAACGGACACGGCCACTACGTTCCAGTGTTTAAGGGGGTTACATGGGTTACCGACGTACGGCCATTGCTGTCGTTGTCTCATCAGCCGCATAGTGAAGATGCCCGGCAGGTGCATAAGTCAACATCAGCAAATTTCCGTGAGACTGCATATCCACAGGCTACCCGGCCAACCCACCCATGCGCCCAATCGGCCAGCCTTGCCACAACATGGGTGCTGAAGTTCTCGAGGACCCTTAAGACCTTAGCATACCTTAGCGGAGGCCACCTCGATGCTCGCGAAATGCTCGTGCGATTTGCAAGCTCGGCGATAAGGACATGGCATGATCGCTTCATTGCTTGTCGGTGAGCAGGATCTGCGACAACGCGCGAAGTAGCCACGGTAAAAACATTGAGCCTAAAGTATAGCTCCGTTCGAGGATGCTCTGACATGCCGCACTGCAGTGTGCACCGTCAGCTTTTTTGCATTTTTTTGCTTGCGATCACGCTTTTGTGCAATTTTCGTGGCGGCACGTTGGAAAAAGCACGCTCGGAAATTCAACGGATGGGTTTTGGGCATTGACGTTACGGCTGTATGAGCACGTGACTGGTTTCAGTAAATCTCGTTATTCGAAGCAAGTCTTTCGTCTGCCCTGGTGGCTCACAACAGGAGAGGACGTGGCTCCTGTGTCGGAGGTGGCTGAGCAGAAGGAGGTGGATGCAGCTGAGGACCAGGAAGGGGAAGGTGGGATCAGACTGAAAGTTGTTCCTTCAATCTTTGATTTCCGGATCGCCAACAGCACGCTGAG